AGAAGAAGGAGAAGGAGAAGGAGAAGGAGAAGGAGAAGGAGAAGGAGAAGGAGAAGGAGAAGAAGAAGAAGAAGAAGAAGAAGAAGAAGAAGAAGAAGAAGAAGAAGAAGAAGAAGAAGAAGAAGAAGAAGAAGAAGAAGACGACGACGAGGAGAAGGAGGAAGTGTCTGGTTGGAAGTGTCACCCCAGCCCCTGGCATCCATATACCCAAAGAGTCTGGAATGTTCGGGTGGAAGTTCCATCCTAAGCCCCCTCCCCTAGGAGTTGCCTCGGTCCAGACTCCACCTCCAAGAAAGCCCACCAAATGATGACCTCTCCCCAGAGATGCTCAAGACCACTCCCACAGGGAATTTAAATTGTACCCCAGAAAACAAACAGGTGGTTTTCCAGTCTTCCTTTCCTGTCTCCTTTCTGGGGGATTGGAAATCCATCCAGGAGCATTGGTATCCACTAAAACTGGGTTTTCTCTAATTCAGTTTGATTTGCATCATTACATCGGCAGAGAGATTTATTGGGGTGCAGAAACTTTTCAGGAAGGAAGAAAAACAACAACAAAAACAGACAAACTAAACCAAACAAACAAAAAAGTACTTGCCACGAAGCCTGATGACCTGATTTCAATCTATGGGATCCACATGGTGGAGAGCCTCAAACTCTACGCATTCTGTGGCATGTACAACTACACACTCACACACACACACACACACACACACACTCACAGGCTCCACACCTTTTATACACAGCCATTTCTCCTCCTGCTATTCCACCATGAACTGGAATAACCAGAGAGTCCCTTGCCAGATGGGGCCAGACTTTCTGCCTCCAAATCTGTGAACTAAATAAGCCTTCTTTACAAAGTGTCCAGCCTTGGGTATTTTGTTACAGTGGTAGAGCTAAGATCTCTCCAAAGGGACAAACGTGGACAAACAATGACAAATCCCACGAAAACACTCATTTTGGCTTTTGACTTAGTAAACCGGTCACACGATGGAATGGGGTGCTGTGTGAGGAAGGGTTCAGAGGAGGGGAGTGAGAGACCTTTGCTCCAGGGGGTACCAGATTGAAATGAGCAAGCCCTAAGAGCCCTGCGGAGACTACAGATATGGATGTTAATTAAATAACTAGTTAGGAATCTTGGCTTGGAAGGCACTAGAGCAGACTCCTCCCCAACAGCCAATAAGTTGTGAAACCAAGGCCTTT